CATTCCCCCATTCCCCCACACCCCCATTCCCACACACCCCCATTCCCCCTCCCCACCCTGGTGTCCCCCCCGTGTCCCCCCCGGTGTCCCCCCGGTGTCCCCGGGCTCTCCCGGTTCGGGGGGCTGCCCTGAGCCCCGCTCTGCTGTCCCCGCAGGATTCCCTGAACAACAACGGCGGCTTCGCCCCGCCCGCGCCGCGCCCCAGCTGGCAGGACGCGCTGCTGCACTCCTCCTCCTCCTCCTCTTCCTCACACACCGGTGAGCGCGGCGTGGGACACTGGCGGGGGACAGCGGGGCTGGGACAGCGGGGCTGGGACAGTGGGGCTGTGACAATGGCGGGGTGACAGTGGGGCTGTGACAGTGGGGCTGGGACAGTGGGGCTGTGACAGTGGGTGTGTGACAGTGGTGGGGTGACATTGGGGCTGTGACAATGGCAGGGTGACACTGGCGGGGGACAGCGGGCATGTGCCAGGGTGGCTGTGCCAGTGGCGGGGTGACAGTGGGGCTGTGACAATGCAGGTGTGACAATGCAGGTGTGACAATGCAGGTGTGACATTTGGGCTGTGCCAGTGGGGCTGTGCCAATGTGTGACGGGTGCGACAGTGGGGTGTGACAGCAGGGTGTGACAATGCACATGTGACAGTGGGGCTCTGCCAATCCAGGTGTGACAGCAGGCATGTGACAGTGGGGCTGTGACAGTGCAGGTGTGACAATGCAGGTGTGACAGGGGGCTGTGCCAGCTCGGCTGTGACAGTGGGGTGTGACAGTGGGGCTGTGACAATGCAGGTGTGACAGTGGGGTGTGACAGTGGGGCTGTGACAGCAGGCATGTGCCAGCACGGCTGTGCCACCGCGGGTGTGACATTTGGGCTGTGACAATGCAGGCGTGACATTTGGGCTGTGCCAGTGGGGTGTGCCACCGCGGGTGTGAGGCCGGCTCCCGCGGCCGCCCCGCGGGGTGACGCCGGCTCCGTGTCGCCCTCCCCGCAGGACACTCGTCCCCCCACGCCTGCATCCTGGACGGACCCTGCCTGGAGAGCCCGCCGGGCCCCGGGGGGGCTCCCCCCTCGCTGCCGCCCTCCCCCCTGGACTCGCAAGGCAACAGCCCCGAGTCCCTGGCACATGGTAACCCATCGCCCCCGAGAGCCGCGCCCGATTTTAACATGAACCTCATCTCCGCTGCGCTCCGAGCTCCGCTCTCCCCGCCGCGCCCCCGCCAGCCGCCCCCGCCTCACCCCTGTCTCTCTCCAACAGGGCCCGCGGCTCCCCCCGGCGCCCCCGAGGCCGCCCCCCCGGGGCGCCCGCTCCGGCCGGGCCGCCAGCGTGCGCGGCCACCCCTCGGGCTCCTCGGAGACCACCTCGCCCTCCTCGGACCCGGGCATCGAGGCCGACCTCACGAGCCGCACGGCCAAGCCCTTCCTGCCCGGCGGGCGGCGCGGGGACGAGCTGAGCTCGCCCGGCTCTGACTCGGACGTGGACGGGGAGCTCGAGGCGGCTTTCGCCGGCGGGCGCCTGGTCAGCAACATGATCTCGTCCATCTCGGAGACCGAGCTGGACCTCAGCAGCGACAGCAGCAGCGGCCGCTCGTCCCACCTGACCAACTCCATCGAGGAGGCCAGCTCGCCCGGCTCCGAGGGCGAGCTGGAGCCCGAGCTGGAGGCGCCCGGCCTGCTGGGCATCAAGGACTCGCTGCTGCTGGACAAGGGCAAGGAGGACGAGGAGGAGCCGGCCGAGAGGGGCCCGCAGGAGCGTGGCGTGGTCAGGAGGGAGAGCCTGGCCGAGCTGAAGATGGACGCCTACTACGACAGCCTGGACCCGGCCGACGGCCCCGCGCCCGAGGGCCAGACCGACGTGTCCAGCGCCAGCCCCCTGGACCTGAAGATCGACCCCGACCACAGCCTGGAGAGCATCCGCCGCTCCTTCTACCTGCCCGTGGGGCCCAAGCTGATGCCCGAGGCGGACGAAGAGGACAACAGCGAGTACGACTCCGACTCGGAGTCGGAGCCCGACCTGAGCGAGGACTCGGACTCGCCGTGGCTGCTCAGCAACCTGGTGAACAAGATGATCTCGGAGGGCTCGTACCCCATCAAGTGCCCGGACGAGTGCTTCCAGAACAGCCACTCGCTGTGCGACACCATCTCGCCCGCCTCCGACCTGGAGCCCGAGATCCTGAGCGAGGCGCTGGACGAGGAGCCGGGCCCGCGGGACTCGCCGGCGGACGCGGCGGTGCCGGCGCGGTGCCCGCGCGGCGC